AACTTATTTAACTTCTTGAAGATATGAAGACCAAGATGTTGTGGCATCTGGTATGGTCACAGAGTCCTTTTGATTTATAGAAGTGGGTTGACCTCGTTGTCGCAACTTGGCCTTGTTGTCAGGGTGACTATGTAGAACGCATCTAGTCAGAAATCGTCTGCCATAGTAGTTGCCATGATACTCAGCATTAAACAGTGGACTTGGTAGATTCTCAAACGTTTTGCCGGAATCATTAGTGAGTCTTGCCATTCTCCGCACCAAGCTACGATCTCCTCAAATAGACAAGTGAAGTCACTCCATCGACAAACGTTCTGCTGAAAACGGTTACACTATCACTCCTCTTTCTGTCCTGGACTATCTATCTACTCTTTACCCTCTTATCCCATTGCCGCCCCATCACAACTTCTTACATGTTTACATTACACTCGTCAAAATGTGTGCCCTTTTGTGGCAAATCTAATGTGACCTCATCACACTTGCTATTCACCCCGACCCCTTCTCTTTCGATAGGCTGATCCAACTCGGGCCTCCAATCCGGATCCCCTCATTGTCTCTTAGATCCGTTCCTTCTCTTTCCGGTTGACCGACTTCCCTCGGTTCCAGTGCCAGTGGGCATTTCACTCCAGGCGCTATTTTTAAAGGTCCTGGAAGCACGTACACTGCTATCTCACCGAGCTTACTGTCTAGGCTCTGATTCCCATGCTTGCAGATCTTAGGCATTGCCTTCACAGGTCCTCTCCTTGATTAAACTCATTTTATCTGAGCAATTGTGGACGCCTATTTCTGGTCGCATGAGGCATCTCAAACGGATTTCTAGTCCATGTTGGCCATAACACCGAATTCCCGTGACGGTTTGCTTATCAGTCTGCTCCGCTACCTGACTGCCAGGCTCCCAAAGTTGTACTGGCTTATTCGAAACGGACATTACGTACTGACAACGTCTTCGCTTGATTGTCAAAAACCCCTGCCCCCCTTCTTTATCGCGATCTCTTTTCCTCCGGTTAGCGGTAGATCCTTGATCCAGGCGTCTCCTTTTTGCTGGTCTTGCTGTATTCTTGTTTTCCTCGAGTTAGCTTAGGCAGTAGGCAAAGTTATCGCTAACTCCAATCTCCCGTTCATTAGATTTTTCTCCCCAAGCATGTCAATGGCCTCCCTTATCTTCCGCTTCCTTGTGTTGTCACCG